TGGAAGGGACCTTAAAAACATCCACTCCCACCCCCTGCCATGGGCAGGGACACCTTCCACTAGCACAGGTCCAGCCTGGCCTTGGACACTCCCAGGGATGGGGCAGCCACAGCTTCTCTGGGCAAACCTGTGCCAGGGCCTGGCCACCCTCACAGGGAAGGATTTCTTCCTAATATTTAATTTAAACCGAATCTCTGCCACTTTACCCCATTGCCCCTTGCCCTGTAACTCCAGGCCCTTGTCCAAAGTCCCTCTCCAGCTCTAGAGTAGGTTGAGCAGATGAGACATCAGTGGTGCAATTTGGTGAATACAGAGCCAAGCCTTGAAGAAGGAAATGTAGATAATTAGAGATGTTCGTATAGGGGGGTGTCTCTTTGCTTTCATTGAGATAAATCTCTTTTGTGGATATATTTGGACATTTGGGTCAGTGCTGGCCTTGGCAGTGCTGAGGGAACAGTTGGACTCAGTGATCTTACAGGGCTTTTCCAACCTCAACAACTCCATGATCCTTCTTGTTTGTAGAATTTCTGTTCTTATCTCTGTGTGCTTATTTGGAATTCTGGTCTGCTGCCTCTTCCCTCAAAGAAGATTAAAAAAAAAGGGATTTTTTAGGACTCTGCCTTTTTCTCGTGAGCTGAAAACAAAATTGGAAGCCTTTGCTCTCAGGCTGGGTGGAGAAAAATCCAGCCTGGTGGCTGAACCAGGACAGCACCCCAGGGGATGGCCTGGGCTGGGCTGTCCCTGGGGGGGTTTTTTTGCAGACCCTGCTCTGCTGGGGGGGGAAGATGGTGGGGCTGGGGCTGGTAAAGCTTCTGGTGGTTAGAGCAGCAGGGAGAGATCCAAACCTGCCAGTTGAGCGGCAGCGGGAAAATGGACTTCTTGCCTCTATGAAATCATTAGTTCTCACCGTCATTAACAGCTTGATTTCCTTTCCTTATTGGTATCAGCTAATTTAAATTCACTCAATCCTGTCTCTAATTAAGGGTATTAACAAAGAAATTTCTCCCACTCCAACACTTTGGAACATTTACTTTGATTGAACATCTGAAATATTTGCAAGGGATGACTCCAAGGCCTGGTTTCTTGGAGCTGCTGGCAGTGCCCAGCCCTGCAGGTGCTGCAGAAAGGTGAGCAAGACCCATGTGAGGTTAGAAAAGTGGGATAATGCAGGTAGAACGTGGGACGTGGTGTTGCCACCCTTGGAAAACAGTAGCTTGTGCTTGTGGTGCCTCGTGGCTGCAGCTCAGGCCACTCCCCAGCAGCAGTGACATTCCCTGAATCCCTGTGAGGTGGGTCGGTGTGGTGACAGTTTGCAGCTGCACAGATTGAATCCAGCAGGTGTTACCTGGACAGGGAATACCAAGGAGTTAGTGGGCAATTCCAGGGGAAAAGAAATGAATCCCAGATTCCCGATTCTCAACCTGGGGTGTCTCGCTTTGAGCTCTGGAAATACTGTTTGGTTTGCACCCAGTTAGTTACCTGTTCAGGTTACCAGAAAGGCATGAAAGCCACCTCAGTGCCTTGGGTTAAGGCCACATCACCAGGCTACACCTCCATCCTGAGCCTGAGGGTGGGAGAATGGTTAAGGCACGAACCTTCCACTTCAGATGTTTGGATTCACCTATTTTGTCACCGCTCTGGAGTTCTTCAGCCTGTTCCTGATTGAAGTTCTGATTTTCCATGTGCACAAGCCGTCCCTGCTCTCAGTTTTTCTTGCCTTGCCCTGTGTGCTGAGCAGCTGCCCAGGGTTTGTGGTTCCTGCACAGCGGTGGCCGAGCAGTGACTGTCACCCTTCCCCAGCACAGCGTTCCCCCCCTGTGCCTGGGGTGGTATTAAGGGCTGGCTTCCTTGAGGGCTCTCCTGCTAAAATATTTTAGAGTCAGTGGATTCTGCAGGACATCTCAGCCTCTGCAGGCTGGGGGTGCCAACACTCAGAGCTTCCTGAGATGCCATTAATACCCTCATGTTCCTCAGTTCTCCAGATCACCCCTTTGGTGGCATCTCTGAAGTGACTTTTTCTTCCCTCAATCTGGCCCCAACTTTCAATTAGAGTCTGGGATTTGCAGCAGAACAAAACTTTAAATACCAGCTGTACTTATTTTAAATACTTTCCTGTTTCAAAGCCGAGCTTTGGGAGTTTTTGGGACCTGGAGTTTTCTCTCTCTAAGGTGGTCCCTGTAGATTAGGGCTTCAGGTTGGTGATCATGGCAGGGTTTCTCTGGATTATGCAAAACAACTTGCAAGAGGTGTCAGTGATTCTGGTAGCCATAAAAGAGGTTTGTTTATGTTTTAATTAGTAAAACCCTAGCTCAGAATGCTTCTCTGTGTCGATTGAACGCGGCTGTTCAGATGTGCTCCGGGAGGGGGTTGAGCGGAGGCCAGTGCTGCTCCTCACTGTGGCTGGTGTGTCCTGCAGGGCAGGAGCGCATCGGGAAGGACTCCCCGTACGAGCAGGAGGGGAAGGTGCAGTTCGTGATCGACGCCGTGTACGCCATGGCCCACGCGCTGCACCACATGAACCGCGACCTGTGCGCCGACAGCACCGGGCTCTGCTCCGACATGGAGCACGCGGGGGGCAAGAGGCTGCTCAAGTACATCCGCAGCGTCAACTTCAACGGTGAGCACAGCCCCGACACCCACCACGGCCTCTGCACCTGCCACAGCCCCGACACCCGCCACAGACCCTGC